GGAAACTATATTTAGCTTTTTTATTATCGCGTGGGACATGCGAGTATACTCGCGGACAGTCGGACAGCTCCGGAATATACCGTTGAGAATGTTGACATAGCGAGGGATTCGGGAAAGAACACAGCGAAGCATGAGATTTTTGTCAATAAAACTATAGAAATACCCAGTGTTTGTAATTTTAATTTATGTTGGGAATCAACGGGAGGCAATTCTCAACACAAGTATTAAAAGTTGTCAAAAAAACGTTATCCGGCGCTTGTACCCCGGTACACAGAAATATCGGCCACAGCCGATTAATCGGCCGATTATTTTTTATATTGGCTCCGATATATCGAATCGGCTTTTTTCTGGTATCGGCTCATCCCTAGTTTAATCGACAGTATGAAGCATGTATCGTTACTAACGTTATTGCTAGTTAACAGGCCTGCAAATTCGTGCTGGTCATCGGACATTGTCCGGCCAAATTTTACATTTTGTCTACCGCCTACCCACTAAGCTGTCTTGTTTTAAATCGCTCAGGTGTCTATACCAACTGATTCCACCTCAAAGGATAGATAATGCGACAAAGACAAAGTAATGGATGAATCATGCTTTGGAAATAAAAGGTTGTCACAACAAGTCCATCACCCCCGAAGAAACGCACATGATCACAAGCTGGAGCATAGCAATCTGATTAAGGTAACGAAGTTATTAGAAAGTACTGTAAGATTGATTTTAAAATAACAATATCCAGAGTCAAAAGTTGAGCTTCATGATTTGTCACAAGCAAGCAAGCGCTGGCGAAGGGACGTGCTGCAACTTTAGCGAGGAAGTAGCGCACCAGAAAAGTCCTAGAAGGCTAAAAAAATAATCACGTGTAGGTTGGAATAGCACAATATAATATCTTCGGTTCTGCGACCACAGCCGAGACCACAGCCAACTCAAATATTTAAGGCTACGTTCACACTGTACCGCCGAATAGCTTTCCCTAGCGACGTGAAAAACAACCTATCCGTACATTTTAGTAATGCTTTTTTCAGAGGAATTATTGCAACGGAGAGATTTTGTTTCGCTCAGCTTCTGAAAGTTGTACATTCTGTATCGGGTATAGGTGCTTTTTCGCGCCGCCACGGAAACCTATCCGTTATAGTGTAAATGTAGCCCAAAACTCGAGGGTACGAGTACAGTATACCTATAGCAAACACGATTTACGGTAAAATCAGAATACAAATATTTTGAATGAACTTTTAATATATTTCTTACATTCTAATGGCTAATACTATATTAACAAAAATACACTTAACTACGTTGTCTATACCTACACGTTTACTATGAAATAACTACAATACCTCCTAGTGCAATATTATTTATTAAACCATCTAGTATATATATGTACAGTTAGCATGCTTCACCACAAAGCACAGTCAGAGGCTGTTTATAAGATTTTTGGTACTAGTGATTGGGGAGGGCTCACTACAAGCCACCTGGTCAAACGACGATGAGAGTTGATAAGAGTTGCAACTCCTGCTCGCGTTTGACCGACATTTAGCCATACCGAAGTTGATGAGTGGACTGGGGACGAGTGTTAAAAAGTGCCCAAATTAAAAAATGAACGGGGTCACTAAAAAGACCACCTCAAAATTAGTAAGTATACGAAGTTTGAAAACGTTTACATGAATACCCTTCGAATAATAAGCATTCGAAAATTGTGAAATTACTGATTAACAAAAATTGCAGTACATTTCATAGTAAATATCGCGATTTTCGAAAGCTTATTATTCGAAGGGTATTCATGTAAACATCTTCAAACTTTGTATACTTACTAATTTTGAGGTGGTCTATTTAGTGATTTGATTCATTTCTTAATTTGGGCACTTTTTAACACTCGTCCCCAGTCCTCTCATCAACTTCGGAATGGCTAATTCTCATGCACTCTCATCAACTTTGAGCTGCTTCAAATATGTTGAGAGTTGACAAGAGTTTTTGGCTATACGCGTGGTAAAGTCCAGTCCACTCTTATCAACTCTCATGCAACTCGTGTTACCTTTTGACCTGAGAAAACTCTCGTGCAACCTCTCGTTTGCATTTACTCATCAACCCTCATCCACGTTCAACAAGCGTCTTGAGGAAGTTACTAAAATATTAAGATTTTACGAAACGAAACCCAAACCTGTTTTCCACTTCAACCGTAACGTAACATTTTCTTTTGTGTCGAAGTCGTTAGTTCCACACTACCGCTCAGGAAACAAAGAAATCGCTACGTTTCGATAACACCGCGGAAAAACGTCTGCGCATACACCAAATTATGAAATATGGCGGGGAATTTGAATATCAATTTCTAAAACAAAAACATGCTTATTAATTGGTCACAAATTAGTAAAATAAACGAGAAAATATAGCAAATGGGTAGACTAGACATTAATTGAAAGCGTCCTGGCATTTAAAGTATGGAATGAAATATAATTCATGTAAAAAATTGTTGATTTTAACGGACACGACTTCGAAAATATTTGCAAAATTATTCAAAACAAAAATTCAAACTCAAAAGTTAAGAAAATTCTCGAAAAGTTAAGCTTCTTAACCCACTCAAATTGTAGAATAAATCCTAAAGTTTAATTATTGTGAACACGAATTTTTTTTATATTTGGCGACACAGTTTTTTTTAAAGAAATGTATCTCAAACAAAAATTCGGAAATTGTCATTGCTTAGTTGATAAACAAAATGTTTCAGACGATAAATTTGTCAACAATCACCTTTAGTTCATGTTCTTGTACAATGCAATTTCTTGAACCTTCTGGCTGTATTTATTTCTAGTTTTTAGAATGACATGTTTATTTTTGCGCTTGAAATCTGGCTGTAAAGACGCACAATGAAGTCACTCCTTTTTACCGCCATTTTGAGCCTTCGGAAACGTTCGGAACAGCTTCTCATCAAGTTCGCAATACTATTACAGGTAAGGTTGACGCATGCGCAGACGTTTTTCCGCGGTGTTCGTTTCGATTGAAGTGGAAAACGGCCTTTACTCCAAACAGTAGAAGCATCTTGTGCACTCAAGACGCGAGTAATCAACAAGGAAAACAAAATGACTGTCATGCAGGTTTGATGATTTTGAAATCATTAAGAGATTTTTTTGTATGTTACGTAACACGCGCTCAAAACTAATGCGGATAATATATCACTTGAGGTTATGACTAAATTCAAAATTTTTATTTTTCGATACGTTTCTCAATCGGCAAACAAACTTAAAAAGTATGTTTAGTGCTTTATCTGTAAAATAATGCCGAAATGAAGAGATTTTAGATGATACGCCAAAGAGAAAATGATGTCTGAAGTTCAGTAAGTTTTGCTTATATGGCTGTAAATATGGCGTCAATTTTAAAGCATCATTGATAATTGTATTTTAATTGACAATTTTTAACTATTATTTTATGTTTCTCAACCGGCAGATGCATTTAAAAAGGTTGCTAACTCTATAAACTAGAGGATAAAGCTAAAACAAAGTAATTTTGAGAGGAACGCCAAAAAGATTTGAATATCCTTACACTTTTCACCGCGACACTGAGGTGGATAATTGTTTTAACCAATTTAAGGATATTCGGAGCTGAGCAACCAATCAATGAATCAAAATGCATGAAATTCGTTATATCCACCTCGCGAGTATATGCTAAAATGGAAATATTTAACAATTATTCGCCGAAGGCGAGGTGAATATTCCCCGATAATCACCGAGCCTGAGGCGAATAATTGTTTTAGTATTTTTACACAAGCCTTCGTGTTTTTGGGACTGAATATATATTTTAATTTCGCTTATTTCTTTATCAGTAACTTTCACAAAACAGCTAGCCGCCATTTTGAAAATTTCGGTTTTGTTATATTCACCTGTAGGTGAATATAACGGCTTTATACGTCAAATTTGACCAATCAACGTGTAGGATTTGTTATGTTCACTTGTGCAAAAATACTAATACCGTATATGCAGGTGTTATCTTTGTTGATCACTCCAATCTTGAGTGCACAAGATGAGCTTGTATTCGGAATATGTTTTCTATATGTTTTCTCGAAATTTGTCGGCTAGAAATGGACTATTAAGATTTTTACGAAGATGAGTTGAAATTTCTCATTACCATAACAACAGCCCCTATAGTACTAAACAATAGTGAAGCAGACGGAGTCCTTACGCGAACTTATAAAACTGAAACTATAGTACTCTTCAGTACAACGGAATAAATACTATGCCAAAATACCATACCAAGATAAAACAGAATACTAAACTGTCCTTCAAACTCGTCCTTTAAAATGTGTAGTCAACTTGACTCTTAAAATGCTTATGCAATGAAATTTCACACCAACTTAGTGAGAATAATTTACTTTGCATATAAAAAATTGTTAACTATCTCAAGAACAAGTCACGCTAAAATAGTTTCGCAAAGTTATCTTTGAATTTTCTTTACAATGGAATAAAAAAAAATGATGTGAAATTTCGTTGTATAAGCACTTTAAAGTTAATACCAGTGCTTGCAAACGTTTGACTCCAATTTCTGTATAAAACTACCAGACGAAACGAAGGCATTCGACCACGTAATCCTCAACACTCTCCATATAGTCCACTGTCTCTGATATAAAGCAAAGTGCAGACTTGCTTCAACTCTACAGTAAAGTATACCCTGTCTTGCTTGCATATATCGTTCGCCTCGATCTTCCACAAGTAATGTGGATGTTCATTTCTTCATTTATACGTCAACTGGATCATCGCATTTCAAATTGATAAGACTTTTCTTGACTCGCAACGCAGGGAGACGTGCAGCACTGCACTCGTACCAACATTCTTGCATAATTTTAGTCATGCCTTTCATGATCTGTAACGGTAGAGAGATGCAAATGCATTAGTCTCTTTTTGCATGGAATAACATACAGAACATGGAATTACTCGCGCTTGGGATCCTCTACAACTACTATTGTGCAGCATTGTAACATGATGTGAACAATAGATAGCTCAAGTATCTACGACGTCAAATATTTAGGGCGGCAAGCGGAAGTAAATGGACCATTCCCCAATTTACCAACATTTTGAAATCAACAAGTCTAGACAAAAATTTCATCACAGCTTGAAAGAGCATCACAAAATTAGTAATATTCCAAAGTTTCGTTGCAAAGTTTCGTTGATGCTCTTCCAAGCTGTGATGAAATTTTTGTTTAGGCTAGTTAAGATCAAAATTTTGGAAAAGTGGTAACCGTTTCCCGTTTGTAATCTAAAATGACTGAAAATTGCAAATTTCGCAAGGCTATATTATCCGCATTTTACAACATTTCGCAACGAAACTTTGGAATATTACTAATTTTGTGGTGCTCTTTCATGCTATGATGGAATTTTGTCTAGACTTGTTGAGATCAAAATTTTGGTTAATTGGGGAATGGTCCATTGGTAATAGTTTTTTAAGTGTGCATGTGTCTCTCTCTCTATTTGCTCGTCGTCCACCAAACGTCGACAACCTCGCAACAAGAGTTTTACCGTCGTAAGTACACGAGCATAACAAACGGTAATAGTTCGCACGTCTGTTTCAAATTCATTTTCAAAAGGATGTAAATATTTATAGTTTAAATATCTACGTCGCGAATCTTAAGTGAAAGTTTATTTATTTAGGACGACGTCCTAGTCCCAGTCTTCTGCTTAGTCCTGACGTCGACGTCGTAGATCTTAAGCTATCTAGTGTAACAGCCTGATAACACCCACCCCATAGGTAATAATAGAACAACAAATGACAAGGCAATCACGATTATGTCCATACATCTTACCGGATTTTGGTACCATGTCTTTGGAAAAGAAGGTCGGTATTTCTGGTTGCAAACAGTCTCTTTCATTTCCTCGATGCTTGGGTCTGATTGGACTTTCTCGTAGTACGGCAGTTGATACTCCTCGCTTGGGTTACCTACAACAATAAACCAACGTCCCAAAACTTCAGTAAAAGGATCGAGAGTGAAGCAAAGGGTAAGATGGAGTGATGGAATATAAAAAATACTGAAGAGATTACACATTTTATATACTACGGAAAACCACTCAATCAGACCTTAAAATATCGGTCAGAGAAGTTAGAGAACAAGTCGGACATATATGTATTGTGAGTTCAATTTGGGTTGGAAATATTATGAATGCAGACGCAAATTAATATTAGCACAACTTGGAAAAGTCATTTAAATCTTGGCAATAAATTTCCGAACCCCACGGTGAAAACCCCGCACTTGATTATACATTTCCATGCTGTTCACTTTTTATACATTACTGATTCTCCATTTAACATACGAACCTCTACTCTCTAGTCGTGAAGGTACATTTTGATTTATGTTGGACAAAGTTACCGTTAGGTCGGACACTAATTCACTTGGGTCGGACAAACAATAAACCTCAGTTTCACTTGGGTCGGACAGAATGTCCAGTGGTTTCCTCTCTACGTCGGACAATTTCACGAATGGGTCAGACAATATCCGTGACCGACCGATATTTAAGGCCTGCACTCA